CCTTGTAGAGATTTAGGGCATTGGTTCTTGGTGTACATCAAGAGGCAAGTGCCTATAAAGAGTATTGATCTTACCTAATTTTGTACTTATGTGCACCTGCAGGATCTGGTTAAGAATAAAATGCTTTGTAGGTTTCTCAGGTAGAAATCGCCTGGTTTTGATTGGGCTTCCTTTTTATTATGATGCTGTATTCTTAGTCTTATCTAAGATCGTTAACTTGTGAAAGTTATTTATATATATATTATACTTCAGAAATACAGTGCAAACTGTAAACGTTCGGTATTGCAATGGTAAGTGGAAAAATGCTGACTTACATAACTGTTCCCCAGGTTGCTTACTAGTGTCATTAAAGAGAAACAGAACAAAAAAAAAAAAACAAAAAACCAAACAAAAATCCAAACCAAAACAACAGAAAAAGACCCCAAACAAGAACAGTTTGCAGAGAACAAAGGGAATGTTGAGGCATTTGCCCTCAGTGAAATTAGTTAGAACTGTTGTTAGTGATGAGATATGCAAGTGCTAAATTCAACTTCTTTTGATTTATGAAAACAAAAATGGAAAACAAACTTGCTATCAAATGATAGTCAAAGTTAGTGATTTTCAGACTGTGGGCAAGATAAAGCTAGCTTGAGTTTACTTAACCTTAAGAATTATAGACAATACTCAATTGTAAACGTGAGTGGTGTTACTTGGCAGTAATTTACTGAGTGCTGTGTACAAAGAAATGCCTCTGACTACTGAGAAGTAGTACTTGGGAGTAATTCAGATCCTTTAATAGCTTGGAAGTTGTAGCACTTCATAGCAGCTCACTGTCAAAGCATAAATACTGGATATGTTTGAGTTCTGGAGGCAGTTTGGGTCTCACAGCACCCACAAAATACCTTTTCAATTTCCTGTTTAGTCTTTGTGTTTAAAGTATGGATTAAGTTTTTCTCTCTATATTTGTGTTAGTTTGATTTTTTTTTTTTAATTAGCTGCTTCTGTCAAAATACAAATAAAGTGGGTACATGTCAAAACAAATGACATGCTACATTAAAGTGTGATCTGTTTTGTAGCCTTAAATTGGAGTGTGAGAAACTGGCAAGCGAAAAGACAGAAATGCAGAGGCACTATGTGATGGTAAGTATATTTGTTTTTTCTTTATTTCAGTAAATATCTCCTAATATAGTGTAAGTCAGCATAACAAGATAACGTATGCTCCTTTATTTGCAGTATTATGAAATGTCGTATGGATTAAACATTGAAATGCACAAACAGGTAAGGTGTTTTGTTTTCTAAACCACAAAATCTGCAGTCTGTCTAGTGCATTTAAATGTAGCCATTCTGTTTATGTTCAAATGACTGTATCATGTGTCTGAATCAATAGCCGTGATTTGTAGCCGTGATTAGTAAACCCTTGCCTACCTTCTGTCAAATGAGGTATAGATTAGGTCGAGCAACAGGGCTTTCTTGGTATTGATCCTGTAAGATGTTGGCAAAAATAGGAAGGTCTTGTGTCTGAGGTTTCAAAATACAATTCACTGATTTACTATATTGTTAGTGATAGCGCCTTTGATGTGCAGAACTGGTCTTATGTGTGTGTACTGTATGTATTGACAGTTGTTCAAATCCTTACCATTTAAAGGTATGAAAAGATTAGTGACTTGGAAAGCTCTAGTTATGACTATGAGTTTGCAAGTTCCCATAAAATTCACACTTATGGCCACTATAATGGTGAATAAAAAGAGTATTGAATTGGAACAAGACACTAAGGACCTCATAAGAGAAGGGAAGCTAAATGATTACTCAGCCCAGAGGACCCTCAATTGAGTAGTCATTGTCTGCCAAATAAAGCATTAATGGCAGGGTGTAAGTATTCTGTAGATATGCTGACATTCACTTTTTCATCAAGATGCTGGTACAATAAGTCTTTCAGAAATCGATGGCCTCTTAAAAAAAATTATCATTAGATGAAGTTGCACAGTTGGGCACATTTCAAAGTGCAACAATACAATTCTTTCTTGATGTGTATGTGCTATTTCATCTAAAACTCTTGTTTCATTAAATTAAAGAGCATGACTGATCGGCTAGGGCACAGCGAAGAAATTGATTAGTTCAGGCTTCAGATCTTCAGTATATTCAAAGACTTACATTAAGCAAGCGAATTGCGGAGTTGAATTTTGCTTTTGTAATTCTGGATCTTTGACTTCTATTTTTTTGTTTGTTTTCCCTTAAAAATACTATATTTGATAAGATGGTATTGTAATTCCATGATAACTTTCTGTCTGCAAAGCAGGGTAGGTGTTCTCTTGGTTCCTAGAAGTACACTTGTTTGAATCCAAAATGCCAGTAAAAGAAGAAATATTATGACAACCTCTTTTGTGTTTTTTTGTTATTATTTTTCTTAAAGTAGTTTGCTGAATAAGTAGACAGAGCAAATAGAATTGTGTTCGACTTTGTTCTCTGCTGTAGCTGCATTAGTCTTCTTGTGTCTTATGTTAAAAAAGAACTTAAGTTTTTCTGTGATATGACTTTTCCAGGCTTTGTGACTTGGAGATTTCTGTCTTGGATGGTTTTTTTTCCTTCTCTTAAGCAACCTTTTGGCACACTGTATCCCATGAGGAAGCCAACATCATCTGTATAGGAGCCTTGTTTGGTGTGAAGTGGATGTTGTTTTCAGAAGACCTTTGAAGAGAACATGTGATTTCAGTAAATGTACTAGGAGTTAACTTTAGATGAAATGAATTAAGCCCAGAGGATTAAAGAGTGTCAGAACTGAGGTTTGCACTTTGACCTTAACATCTGTGTATTGCAAGGGTTTAATGTTCTGTATGTATGGCAAGTATAATTACACACCCAGTAGGCAGTGATACTCTGGGAGCTTTTAAGATTTATGACAGGGCATTATACCTATCTGAGTTCTAGCCAGGGAGAGTAGAGCACCCTTGCTCTGTGTAGGCTGCTAAGAAAAGAATAAGCATTTGAAGGCATAACACATTTCCCCACATATGAGTCTCAGATACAATGCTTTTACATGTTAAGCAGTTCTAATTTCCAATAAAAGTAGCACCTTCATGGTAAAGACTCCTGATTTAGATGCCTGCGGTGAGGATGCCAAATGGTGTTACAGTTCAGTGTGTAGGTGGTCTTAGATTACAGGAAACAAAAAAAAAACCCCTACCAGTGACATTCTTCTGTATTTCCACTGTTAACGATAAGTTCTGAGGAGGCTTTTGGCAGATAGTAATCATAATTCTTATTAAAACTGGTGACGTCTAGCCCCAAGAGTGTAGCCAGGCTCAAATTGATGCTTTTTGCTGGCTGATCACCAGCATGGCCTAAGTGCTCATTATGTTGTAGAGAGGGCCTTTGGAGCTCTCATTATGTTTGACAGGAATTCTCTCTAGGGGGAAACTGGGCATTAGCTAGACTCCTGACAGGCTGAAATTATTCCTGCTTTATGGCTTATAACCAAATGCTAGCAAGGCATCATCAAGGGACACGAAAAATTGTCATTTCTGACAACATCTTTGTTACTGAAAAATGCAATGGTGGGGAAACTTTCCACTGAACAAGCTTTAACGTTTTTAAGGCCTGCCTGCTATGTGGATGCTGCACGTGGTCTGTGTGAAGCCCTTCAGAGTGCTTGGGCTGCTGACTGAAAAAAAAAAATTAGACTGCAGCAGTGTTTCCTTATGCAGTATGGTATGTTTGCCTACATGTGAAAAGGTTGACTTGTGCTGATACAGTTGCATCAGCCATTCCCGCTTCATTTAATTTGGTAATAATTTAAACAAAGCAAAGTTACCTGGGACTTAAATGTTGTTACAAACAGACTTAAATTGAGGTGAACTTCCCACACATACTGCAGAGCTTTCCACTTGAACAGGTTGCATTTGAGTCCAGAAATGGCCATGGTAAGGCTTCCTTCACAACTTCAGCTTTGTACCTTAGCAGTGTTTAATTGCTCAACTGCGTGCTTAAATTGAGGTACTGCTCCTGCATTTTGACCTGCTGGCTGAACAGTGGTCAGGAAATAACGTTTTTGGCGTATTTGTGGGTTTTTGTGTGTGTGTGTGTGCTGTTTTTGTTCCCCTCTCCCCCTTGTTTCTCTGAGGTTTTTTTGTTTTTTTTTGTTTTTTTTTTAAAGAATTTCGAAGGTTAACTGTTAAGAGGATGCTGTGTGTGGATTCTTTTCCTGTTTACAGATAAATTATTTTAAGGTGAATGATTAGTAAGTTTTGCACACTTGAAATAGAAACAAGCACCTGGGGGTTCTTTTAGGATAAATGCAAATATTGTTTTCATATTTGTCAAGAAAACAGAATGAGTTAAGGATATATTACATGGTCTTAAGTTTCTCTGCTGTGTTACACTGTCCAGGTCAGATTTTCCCCACTGTGACATCTGTGGCTGGCAACACAGATGCATCAGCTGCTAGTGCCAAGATGTGGAGTTGGTTGGGTGTTAAAAATCACACTGTACTTAAAGGGTTGCTGCCCTTGGCTATCCAGGGCAGCACCTCTTTCTTTTCACCATCTCTGTCTGTCATCTTATGTCATAAGTCAGAAGATAAGGTTTCCTGTGCATTCAATGCCTTGATTGTTTAGGTGCAAGATTAGCTTTTGTTCAGTGGCAGGCAGCCAAAGAAAGAAAAATTTATCACCACTGAACCAACTGACAGACTATATAAACTACTACAGTATGTGGGTTTCTGCTATCCCAGTGGTGACAGCTAGGTTTCCTTCTGTTTGGGTGGGTTATTGTGATCTCTGTGACCTGCCTGAAGGCAGATCTGTCATTCAGTACCTTGCCTCTTATAGAAGAGTATACAAACTCCAAAACTGCATTACGTTAACCAGTTGTACAAGAGTTAAAAGTCTGGTTTAGCCTGGACTGTTTTTTGGAATAATTGCTAGTGTTTTACAGCAAAGGACAGAATCTTTTACTGATATCCCATTAGAACATCATGATGTTCTTCAGGAGTGGGTTAAATAGGAGGGAATTAAGGAGCTTAGTTATCTCTCTGCAGCTCCTAAGTAGGATGGCTGTGCTGTTGAAAGGGGTTTAAAGATAATTTTTTTTCTTCCTACTTACATCTTAATTATTGGAATGAAATACTTCATGAATCATTAAGGTTTTGGTGGTGTTCAGTGAGTGTTTCAAGAACATATTGCAGTTGGCACTGCCACATAAGACATGCAGAACCTGGTTTTATTTAAAAGAGGAAATGGTAAGGTTGATTGGGACATAATGTTTTTCACTCAAAAAATTGAACAATTATATAAATATTTGGTTTCTAAATGTATACAGTTGTATCAGCAGTGTAGCCTATTTCTACCACAACTAAAGTTGCCAGTTTGAATGTGGAGAAAAGACTAATGACCTCAACTTCTGAACCACATTTCAAGCTTGAGGCCAGTGTTATTGTGAAGGAATTATCTGACAGATTCAGGACACTGTGTGAAATACATCTCCATGTGGCTTTTAGATAACCAGATTGTCAGATACCATCTCCTATGTCAACTCCATATACAACTTAATCTGAAAGTATGTCACAGTGTAAAAACTGTACTTATGTTAAACATTGTCTGATTATCTCTCATTTTAAACTTGGTCTCCCAGATTTTGGGTTCCTTGTAGAACCATGGAGGGAGAGATGAAACGTGTTCCTCCAACATTCCTCCTTCCTTGCATTGCTGGAATGTACATTGCCAAATATCTGATGATGTGCTTTATATATTGGTTCAAGTGGGGAAAAAAGAAAGCCTTGATATTTTTTGAGTAGGGAGAGGAGTAAGAGGGAAGATGTTTTGTGCATGTACAGTACCCTTCTGTCAGAACAGATTCCAGGAGAAATGATTAATGCTTTTCCTCCTGCTGGTTGTTATACCAAATCAAGCTATGCATTTGAATTGCCTTTCCTCCCACCCTATTCCAGCACTTAAGTGTTTGTAGCAAAGCAATAAAATTGCATTGTGTCTCCAGCGCAAAATGAAAGATAGGATCTTTTAGGTTTGATAGTAAGTCACCATTGGCATACAGTAAAAGCCTTTAGAAACAACTTTAGGTTAACTGGTGCTTATCAAAAGACTGCACAATACTGTTATTTTAAAGAAGATAATAGCTTTGAGTAGAACTAGTGAGGTTATCCTTCCACTCGAGGTAAGATTTAGGGAAATCTAATTGCAATTAGGTCAAATACTACTATTTTTGTCTTTTGTATCACACTTCTTAGTTGGGCTCTGAATGTAGTTGCTTCAGCAATAGTAATTTCT